AAAAGCTGCATTGCCTGGATATCGCTATAACCTAAAAACGCCGAAATAGACTTTTGGCAACTTCTAATGGTTGTGCCCTGTCCGATCCAATAACTCCTGTGCACTAGGCTTCTCCCTATACACCAATGTTCCACTAGGCGAGCCATCACTGGTCTCCGTGTGTGCTTTCTTCTCGTCTCCCTCCTGGCTGTCGGCAGATCCGGGGTTCGCCGCCCTGATGGCTTCCTCCAACGCGATAGCCGCCACATTTGGTCGACCGACCTCCTCTGCTGTCTCAGCATTCTCCGGCGGCTGGAAAGCCGCAGCCTCGTGATCGTCAAAGTCTTGTCCGGGGTTGACGGTCTCGTATTCCACTATCTTGACGATCCTGTACATGCCGAAAGCCAGCAACGTGCCCATGACTGGACCAAACCAGTAAATGTAGTGGTATGATGGAAAGTTGCGCGTCACGACGCAGGGGCCAAATGATCGACTGGGATTCAGCGAACCGCCAGTGAAGAAGACGCCAACCATTTCCGCGACGAAGAGCGAGAGACCTATGCCGACAGGAGCAAGAAATGTGGCTTTGTGTTTCTCAGCTGCAAGCATGAAGATGGTGAAGACGAGGAGAGATGTCAAAAACATCTCCAGGAAGACGCCCATCGTGGGAGTAACACCGTTGCCAAGTGTCGTCGAAACGTTCAGCGGGCCGGGAAGGATGGCAGATACAACGCCCGCAGCAGCTATGCCAGCGAGCATTTGGCTGATGAAGCATAGGACTGCGCGATCCCATTTCAGCGCTTTTATTAGGTAAAGACCTAGGGTAACCTTCATGATCATGTCAGCTCATTGATTGCAGTGCTTTGCAAGGATCTTGGAGACTCACAGCAGGGTTGAACAATCCACCACTGACTCGGAAAAACACCCACACGCACACCATCAAACTGAACCCAAATATCAGACTGATGTACAGCAAGACGCTGGTGTTTGGTGCCTGCGTTATACTGTTCCCGCCCTGTCCAGCAGTAGCTTGGTCACTGTACAGCGCAGCAGTGTTGGCGACTTGAGTGCCGCCGAATGCGAAGAATAAGAACATGAAAGTCCCAGCAAACTCGGCAACAGCCGCGACAAGCTCATTGCGCCATTTGTTTGACACGTATCCGTTGAGAGCATTCTTGCGGGCTTTGATGTGCGGATGATGGCCGTGGATGTGCGGGTGGTGAATATGCGGATGATGATGGCTGTGAGTCGAGTGTCTGGGTCTGTTTTCACCCGCACTGGATTCGTTCCTGTGTACGGGTAGGATGTTTTGTTGCGATGGAGCCATGATGTCCTTTTTCTTCTTTTTTCGACCTTACAACAATCCATTGCAGAAAGAAAACTGGAGAAGAGAAGAAGGGATGAAATCCAGGCAGGTTCAGAACAAATCCACTAAGTGATGGAGATGACTCCGGTGAGGAGAGAGGCTGAACGAACGCCGTCTACGGCTACCTAACTCTTGTGACGTCGTGGTAGGGGCGCCACCATCGTCTTTGATGCGGCCATGCGAACGCTAATGGGATGGCGCCGGCCGTAAGCCACTCGTGAATCTACGCAAGTCAGGAGTTTTTAACACTCGAGTCGTCTTGTAATCTCCAGCAGTATGCCATATCATGATCGGTGTATGTGTGCCGTGCTGAGCAGCACTGTGTACAGCATTGGTAGATGTGAGATCCTCGTAGCTGCAAGTGGATGATCGGATTCGTGATAGTCCAGACGGATCTGGAGATCTGCCCACAGGTGCGGGTTAGCGTGGCGGGTAGTGTGGGTGATGTCATGCGAACCGAGAAATAAGGGTCTGCGGCTGTGGGACGATCCGACGCTGCACTTCACGAACTGCGCGCAATATTTGATTTTTTTTAAATAGAATTTGATCAAATTCTATATTGTGTGACAGGACTGACTTTGATACGGAGGAGGAGAGCGTTGCGGCCTGCGACCTTGATCTGTGTACTTCCTGCAGACTGAGGCCTACGGTAAGGCAAGCCGAGCTGACAAGGTCTCAAGGATCGCGTCGATCGTTCATAGCCTTTCGTATCCCTGTAGAACCCAAGGTATGTTTCCGCCACCGCGTTACAAATCACAGATATGATGTGAACGAAAACAGATTGAACCAAGAGACTGAATGCGATGGAGAGCCATCGACAAACTTCAATGAAATTGCGGTTCTAAAACACAATGACAATTTCTGGGAAGATACCATACTTTTACGGCATGCTAATCCACATCTTACACGGACAGGAAAGAGACTCGAATTACATGCTAGGCTGAGGTGTCGGAGTCACCATTGTGGCCACAAGAAAGGTCGTTTCTTCATTGTGCCATTCCTGTGTCTCGAGATGCGGTTGCAGCTTAGGATTAGGCATCCATGCAGTGACAATCGAGGAGGCAATTGTTCGTACTGAGGTTTTTATCGAACCATTAGCATTGCGGTAATAGTCTGTCGTGACACTTGGTGTTGTCTGAGCACCGGGAAACAATACAGGAATAGATACTGGTTCCCGAGTCTTGACTGGCATTGGTAGCTCCTCAGTCAATGATCCGCCAGGATCATGGTCTCCGTGGCCTCTCGGGTGCTTACAGCTGCGCCATGCATCTTTCATTTCTTCTGCGACTTCATGACCTTTTGGTAGGTTGAGCTGGTCCTCCCACTTTCCGTTCTTCTCACACTTGTTGTGTTTGCGACACATTTTGCCGAATTTGTTGTTTTCATACAACTTTGAGTCTCTCAGGAATTGTTTCGTATAGGCCATTTTTGGGTTAGACCACGGTCTACCATATGAACGGGCGGGAGGATCGCACAAACACGGTGCGTTTGTGTTGTGGCTGCTGTTGACATCGGTAATCGCTTCACCTGACCAGCTGTAACATACAGCAATGTTGATTGCACCTAGAACCTTTCCGTAATGATCAAGAAGCCTGATGTGGTCGCCTGGCGTAACCATGTTCGAAAAGTCGCGCCTAACTTCTCGCTCGGAATTCCACGGCATCGGATCAAGCACGTCGAATTTGCGGCCCTTCAGATGGCGCTTGAGCATTAATGCAGGCTGTTCGGTGGATTGATGGAATAACGTCTCAATGTCCGGATCTTCTTCTCCCTTGAACGTAGGTCTCCAGACTTCGATGCTAAAAAGTGGACCGCGGACGAAATCGGTCAAGTGTAATCCGTTGAACCCTTCTTCTGACAATAGTACGTCGATACCGGGTGGAAGGCGAATCTTCTTATCTTTATGAACCGATGCCACTTGAATGTAGTAGACAATACCAGACCTCTCTTCGAAGCAGATGCGGCCTTTCGTTTCTCCCTGTGTGTCTTGCTCGCAGGTACTCCCTGGAAGTACTGGAGCCGCTGTAATCCACACTTCTTCAGTAGCCCTGCCGAGTTTTAGTTCAATCCGATGTGAGACCAGTGATGCCAATGAAAGCACCTGGAACAATGCCACTGCAAGCAGAATTCAGATTTCCCATCTGTTGGGCCATGCCTTGACCGTACACAGGACCTTTCCCCGGGAGTTTCAATTTTCCAGCGGCACTCTGAACGCCCCTTCGATGCTCTGCTTGGTACTCCTGCAAATTGAGCGAATGCAGGGTTTGCCATCCACTTGCTCACACCGCTTGTGATTGCACCGGCCCACAGTGACCCAACGCCAGTTACAGCCGTACCTGCCAATGGCGCGCCAGTAATAAGGTTGATGATCATGTCCCTATTTGCCTTCTTTTCTTTCGCCTTGTCTTGCAGCTCATCTGTGTATCTGAATGTCTTAACATCCCGATCGATGTCAAGACCCACCTCGATGAAGTAGTCTTGGAATGTCTCTGTCATGGCAAGGCGGGCGTGATCTACCACCGAAATCTCGTCGAAGAATAGCATTACAGCACGCTTTATATTCGGCGGGTGGTGTTTACCAATGTCCTCGCAACTGGGCGCCTGGTGATTTTAGTATATGTATTGCCAAAGGTTTTACAGATCAGTGTATACATACAATACAGCTGCCAAGCCCGTCGCAAATCATGCTACTTGGCGGATGATCTGGTGCGTAACGCTTCGACATCCAGGATGGGAAGGTCTTTTCGTCCCTGTCGAGAACGCGACGTCATTGTTCGCCCAAGTATTTATCTGGTTGACTTCGCAGCCATGGTACGTCCTCGTGTTTGTGGTTCTCGAACACTTCGTTCGACGGCCGGTCGATGCCGCAGTCATTGTGCCATCGTACTTCACCATCCTCGTCCTGGCAATAGGGGTTGCCGTCGCAGCCTCTCAGTGACAGAGCTGGGTTGGCGCCAGTGAATTACCAGAATATGCAACTGGCGTACAAGACCCAAGTCCTACAATGCGCACTGAACCGCATGTTTGCGTCGCATAAATGGTAGACCCTAGAAAGAACGTCTGAGTGGCCTTTCTTGGCGGTGTGGGTTAACTGCTGAAAACCTCGCCTGTGATGTCCGTCCAATGAAAGCTCAAATTACTTTTGGTGGACTCTAGAGCGACACGCACAAAGTTTTATACTCGTTCTGGGCCATAAACCTCTATGTTGGCCACTTGGCCAATACCGAAAGAGCATGGACCAAATTGCGCCAATATCCGCAGCCAGTTTTGGGCTTAGAAAAGCCGGTCGGTTTCTGAGTTTCGCATTTGAACGGGCTATTTTCAATTCCACTGGGACAGCGGTACTGATGACTAAAACTATAGAATGGGATTTTCCACCATCCCCAATCCCCAATCATCTTGAGGACGTCCATTACTTCTTTTAAGTTAAGATAGGACATGGGCAAAACGCATCCAATTCCGTATGATGATTTCGGCATCTAAATGGATATCGGGTGTACTAGAGAGCGTGCTACTAAGTACGTTGTCGAGATATATATGTCTAACTTCAGTACGCCTATAAAAGCAGCATCCGGCGTGGAACACTCACTATATCTCGGCGGAGCATATCGGAGAGGCCGGACAACTAACCACACTTCATACCATAGTCATTGCAGCTTTGAAAACTTGGAATAGAAAACATAACTCCCGTTACCTGGGTAGCCACATGCCGCGTGTAAAGACCGCTGAGGAGAGCTCAATCAGCAGACGAAATCCGACGATGACTATAGTTATATACATATGCAGTGGGCTCTAATTGGGATCGTTCACCATTAACGTCTTGCAGGAATATTCACTAAGAGTTCCATACCGAAGTGGCGGCAGGTGGGGAAACCCTCTTCGCGGGGTTCTATCTTCACTCGATTTTGAATCCTTGAAAATCACATGAGGCTAAAGACTGAGACGAAGACTTCCATACCCGTCACGATATGTGGCCTCGCTAAAGCCATACCCTACCATAATTTTGGTTATACCTTTGAACAGCCCTGGCCCAACTCAGGTAAACTTATAGATTCAAGGATCAGGTGTATTTACAATCACACCGTTTGCTTTACGCTCTATCGACGTTGCAGTGGTCACGCTTGCATGCTGAAAATTGTCTGAGCTTGGCGTACCATTATTCCAGAGCCACAAAACCATTTCAGCGCGGATACTCTTGCGTGATCTCCTAAATTATAATAGCCAAAACTAGGAAGCGGAGTCTTTTTTTCGAATCGAACCTTGCAAGTCTCTCTGGTGCAAAAGGAATATTTAAGATAGCCAAAAGCGCCTTTTTCTCAAGCTCAATTCTCCTTTCTCATGAAGAAAATCTATTGAAACAAAGCAATCAAGATGGACAAAATCCGAGGCTACCTTATCGGGCTTGTAGTCGTCTCTTTTGCCACCGGAGCTATCGCTATCTGCGAACCTGCCATCGTCGGCCAACCTAACCATATCCCTCGCCAAGTAAACTGCCTCGTTCTCAACTCATCAGAATTCTCACTGACTGTATATAGAATGCCGGTGTTCAGTCTTCCGCCCATGCAGCTGAGGCCGAATTCATGCACGCCATAGAGGCTGTCACCTATGTAGACAAAATTCCAGCCACTACTGCTCAAACCTTCAACGCATGGAACTTGCACGTCTGCACTCAGCAGGCAAGTGACTCTGTGCTCATGAGAAAACTGGGAGTAGCGGGTGCTGATGTGACATGAAAGTGCGACTTTAGACACGCGAGCGACATTGCTCGCCTGTACGGTCACCCCACAGTCTATGGCATCCCGTTCGATGAATTCACCTTCTGTATGTGCAATCGGGAATTCGTTCGTTGCAACCAAGTTTGCCAGGCCCAGTACGAAAAGGCCATGCTTCACTGGCCGCCGCTAGATGCTGATTGGAAAACCTTGACATCCTCTGGACCAACTCTATGTATCGGCAACTGCAACTCGGAAGCAATCATCAACCACCAATATATTGCCAACTCCACGCAACAAGCCTCCTAATCTTGAACGCGACGCCAACCTAGTCTTCTGTTACTCCCGTAACTGTCAGGGCGAATTCCAGAACGAGATGGCAGAGTTCCAAAGGAAGAATAACGAGTAGTCACGCTCTCGGCGTATGCCTTTATGTGTGGAATCATCACTCCGATGGACCTGTGTGTTGCACATAGACTCAGGGTTGAAAATAGCTGGACTGGTGA